TGACTCTGTGGCCTCCTGCCTGTCAGGTGTGCCTGCACTCCCTGGGGCCTCCCTTACCCCATCCTCTGTGCTTAGATTCCATCCCACAGTGACCTGTGGCAGAGAACCCATGAGGAGGTGCCACCAGGTATGGCCCTGGGAATCCTCTGTCATTTTATTTAATCTTTTAAAAAAGTAAGTGTGCTGTTTGGTGGTGTCCCTGCCCTCCACACCAGTTCTCTCGCTCTAGTGCTCATTGTTTCCTGCCTTGTGCTTCTGTTGCCTTCAGTTGGCTCTTTCCCCTGGAGGTGTATGGTTAGTTGACCTGGGTTCCTTCCTCCTTGTTGTAAAGTTTCACTACCCTAAGTTCTTTCTTTTGTTTTTATTTTTATTTTTTATTTTATTGCATTCTGTGAGATTTGATATGTTTATTTTTGTTTTTACTTTTGTATCAGATATTTTCTGAATCCTGTTCCTGCTGTTACCATTGGTTGGTTAAGAATGAGGTGTTTAATTTTCCCATATTTGGGGGTGTTAATTTTTCCTATGCAGTTGGCTTCTGTATTTATTCTGTTATTTACAGGAAAGAAAACTGGGGTCCTTCCAAGTATCTGAAACTGAATTTTAAGATTTGTGACCCAATCTGTGTCAATTGAAAAAATAAATAAAGCTGGGTAGTGGCTTAGTCATTAAGCATCCTGGTGACAATCCTCCATAAAAATAACAACAAAAAAGTCTGGCAGTGTCACTCAGTGGTGAAGCACCCGAGTTCAGACCAGAGTACCCTAAGTAAGTTTTATGATTTTTAAAATGAGGTGCCTGCATTCGTCGACATCGGATTGGTTCTACCCTAGGCTGTGAATGTGCTGCCAGTAGTGGGGGCGCCTTCCTGTGCCTGCCTCTGCCTGTGCACCTGCGGGGACCTGCCGGGCAGATGCATGGTGTTGCCCTGCACTTGGTCCATGTCTCTCACGTAGGAAACCTGCTGTCAGTTTTCACTGCAGTCTCTGCCCCTAAGTCTCCGATTGCTCAGGTTCAGCTCTAATTCCAATCACCTGGGCTGGGTTTTCCTCTGTAATTTTATATTCCTTGACCCAAGGGAAATTTCCTAGGGCGTCTGTGACACTATGATGTGTGCAGTATGATGGGAATCCTTCTTCCTCTCCTGGGCCACTTTGTATAAGTTAGTGCGTGTAAAGCATTTAGGAAAAGGTGTGCACTCAGTAGTGTCACCACCCAGGTCACTGCTCTGTGGTCCTCCCCTGCTGTTGAGATTTTGCTATTGTCCACCCAGGGTGGCCTTATCTTCTCAGGACACAGATTATGCTCTGGCTCACCCAGACCTGAGCATCACCTGGTGTGTGGAATATGGGGTCTCCACTCATAGACGCAGCCTGTGTTGTCTTTCATCTGCATGTTTCTTTTCCTCTCTTTCTTTTTTTTTTTTTTAACCAGGAATTGAGCGCAGGCCAGTCTACCATTGTAATACATCCCCAGTCTTGATTTGTTTTAGTTTGGTTTTGGTTTGTTTGTTTTTTTGACAGCATTTTGCTAAGTTGCTGAGGCTCGTGTTGAATGCGAATCCTCCTGAATCAGACTCCTGAGTCTTGGATTACAGCTGTGTACACTGTGCCCAGCTACTATGTTTCTTGTGGTGTCTGTAAGGAAGACATCTATACAGATTTAGCGAGTATTTTATCTTAAGGAAAAGTGTAATAAAACACAACCAGAGAAATTTAACATGCTCAAAAATACCAGATTATGTGAGAATATAGGCAAAGCAAGTTCAGTTTCTCCTTGTATATACTCCGCACCCAGAAATCTTCTGTGATCCCAGATGAGAGGGTTGTTTTCCACAACCAGGCGAGTATTTCTTCAGAGGGCACCTTGTCATTTCACCTAATCGCGACGCTTTCTGTGTAGATACTCGATGGATCCAAGAGCTGAGGTCTCTGTCCCACAAGAGTGCCCGCTTTTCAGATGTCAGTCTTAGGCAAAAGTATGACCCATGATTCAGAATGACCTTCTGTAAATGGGGCTTCCTTCATCCCCTCCTCACATTGAAAAAGTGGTTAGAGTGCTTTGTAAATCTGTGAAGGACTTGACTTGCATTTTCCTTGTGGTGACGCCTGTTCAGAAGAGACAGGTGAACACGCAGGTGGAAGTGGTGCATAGCCAAGGTGTGGGCAAAGGACGCGGAGCTCACATGACTTTGTGTGGTGCGTCATCCTCCAGGACCCTCCACCCACGCGTTGATCTGAACACCCTTTCACCCCGTCCTGCTGAGATTTTATGGAGGCTCCATTATGTAGGCAGGCTTGATTACATCCTGGGTGATGGTGATCAGTTGCGACTTCAGTCCCTGTCCCTTCCCTAGAGGTGGATGGCAGGACTGTGTTACAACTGCCTCTCCTGCCTGAGGCTTTCTGGGTAAAGCCCCTTCATGAAGCTCTCTAGGGGGCTCTAGGCACCTGACTTCTCACTAGCACAGAACTCTTTCTTAGCTCTCCAGGGATTCCAGGTGAGCTCCACATCAGCAGACAGACAGATCCCAAATGTGTATTTACAGCCTCACAGTGCAGCTCTTCTCACTTGAATCAGTTGCATGCTTACACTTCTCCTCCCTTCTCATTTCTCTTTTTTTTCTTCTTTGCAGTAATGGGGTTGAACCTAGGTCCCCTCTGCCATTACATCCCTACTCCTATGTTCTTCATTCTCAGAGAGGATCTTGCTGTGTTTCCCAGTCCCACCTCCAATTTACAATGTTCCCACCTCAGTCTGGGGATAGCTGGGATACAAGCATGTGCCACCATGTCTGGGCTCTGTGGTTCACATTTTGCATCAAGACTGTAACTGTCCCCAGTGCCCCATTGTGAAGCCTGTTTTAATTTCAGGGTCCGCTGACATTCAGGGATGTGGCCATAGAATTCTCCCAGGAGGAGTGGAAGTGCCTGTTTCCTGCTCAGAGGGCTTTGTACAGGGACGTGATGCTGGAGACCTACAGGAACCTGGTCTCCCTGGGTGAGCTTGACTTCCCCACCCTGCACCTGCCCCATGCCAGGATCTTCAGTGAATACCTTTGTGTTTCCCCTTTGAGTTTGGGATCCTCTGAATTGACTGACTGACTGAAGCCCTGGTGCAGGTTAAAGAAAGCTTCATAGTGCAGCCTCTGCACTTTGTCCCCTTCCTTCAGATGTTCTGCCCCCTTCATGATACTGCAGTGGTGGTTCCAGAGCTGAAGCACAACATAAAGCCCACAGCCGACTCTTAAAATATCCAGTTCTACCCAGATGCGATGGCACACACCCACAATCCCAGTGGATTGGTTTGCTGAGGTACAAGGATCAGAAATATTGCTGCAAGTTCAAAACCAGCCTCAGCAAAAGTGAGGTATTTAGCAACTCAGTGAGACCCTGAATAATATACAAAATATGGCTAGGGATGTGGCTCAGTGGTCAAGTGGCCCAGAGTTCAATCTCTAGTACAACAACAACAACAACAACAACAATTGAAATACCCATTACCTGTTTTCTGTGCCTGTGCTTTTGATTCAGTGGTTCTTGGAAGAGAGGTAGATACCTGCATGATATAGTGAAATATTTTCTGTATCCCTCTGTAATGTCCTCTTCCTCACGTGCAGATAGGGCTGGATTGTAGAGAAGCCACAGTGCATCAGCTTCTTTTCTCTTTACAAGCAGGAATGTGTCCTTCAGACCCGAGTGTCCTCTCCTGGTTGGAGCAAGGGAGGGAGCCCTGGACTGTGAATGGCCCAGATGAGTGGGCATGTGTTGAGGGTGTGAAAGCAGGTAAGAGCTCACATGGGCAGAGAGGCAGCTGCCCACTAAGTAG